CAATGAAAACTCACTCAACCTGGGGACTCATCGAAGCTCCAACGCCGAGCCAAAATTTCGATCGTGAAAATCGAAGGCGAATTTCCTTTACCCCCGACTTCACCTTTGGCGCGAAGCTACCGAGCACCTGAACAAAATAGTGACACAACTGGTTCATCAATGGTATCTTAGGTTGCCCTCACAAAGATACAAACGAGGTTGCCTTTGGTATGCTACTACACAACAACACTGCAAGGTCATTTCATGACATGAACAAAATTTGTTTATGAACTTGTCATGTAATTCGACTCCTCTTGTAATGCGAATGAGCCCTACTGTGAAGTTCTTTTTCCAGAACGCATAAACCTCTATTTTCGAGCAAGCTCTAGATGGAAAATACACATTTTTCCGAAATTTTTCCGAAATTTTCCCCGATTTTCCTGATAATACCTCCATATGTTTGCCGTTTCGAGGGTCTCTTCAGACAGCCTTAAGATGGAAAATACACATTTTCCGAAATTTTTCCTAAAGTTTCTAGATTTTTCCCCGATTTTCCAATAATACCTCCATATGACTGCCATTTCGAGGGTCTTTTCGAAGAAGCTTTAAACGAAAAATACACATTTTCCGAAATTTTCCGAAATTCCCCAGTTTTTCCCCCGATTTCCTAATAATACCTCCATATGCTTGCCGTTTCGAGGGTCTTTCTGATTACAAGCCACCATTCGATAGAACCTCCTCCCCTTTTTTCCCATCAACTGTAGTCGCAGTCGAGGAGCACTGAAAATCGAAATCAGCTCCGGAAGTGCATTCAAACACCAACCCAGTTTTCTTGGAAAAGTACGGCAGGAACATTGATCGAACCAAGTTCGGTGTTGTTGTGAAGAACATATTAAAAAGTGGGAGAAAAATTCCGGAATTGATAAATCGTTTGACAGAAACGCAACACTGCATAGCATGAGAAATAGTAACAAAACCATCTCCACTATTTATACCTGAAAAATCAATTCAGATGAGAAAAAATCATCTACTTACTTTCCCAAAAGTTGTTGCACTCGATCGTCGAACTGCTTGCACCGCGCGGGCATTCCCAGCTCGTAAAAAGGATTTTTCATCACATAATCGCAAAAGTAGAAGAAACTGAGGAAAGTGTGGTACGATTTTGGTAGAATTAAAT